GATTTAATAGATGATAGATTTTGCTTCTTCCCATATTCCCATGTCTATGAAAGAAGTCACATCAACCTATCTTTTGTCACCGCTTTTCATCACTTTTTGACCTGATATATTTCCCTACTACAGTTTGCTCTATCATCTCGATAATGCCTGTTTTTCTCCTTCTATCATAACTGAGTAATTACTGTTGTACTTCAATTCTTAAGTTTTCAATCTTGAGTATAGGAGGTGTCTTCTAAAAATTATGAAACCGAACCAAACCAAACCCTGTCTTTTAATTGCATTTTACTCTGAACTCTATGAAGCCCCCTCATAGTTGTTAGCCATCTTTGCACTTTTAAAAAATCTAATTTAACCCTGGGTCATCCATTAGATCTCAATTTAAAGTTTATTTTATTGGTAAGTCCTTTCCAGATCTATTTTTAACTAAGACTTATTAAGTTTCCTTGCTGATATGTTTTCATTACTGCCCGAGCTTCTTTTATTGCTTGTTATATTATAATTAAATTCTAAAATAATTTATTGATGCAGTGTCTTTGGTGAGAAACAAGAACTAGACCCCACAAGGACAGGGCTATGTCTCTCTATTGCAAGACGACATCCCAAGAGAACGGTCCACTCCAGATGCTCAATTACTGTAGAATAACTATCAGCATTCCTTATTGCTAATCAGGAATAAGAAGCAACATGAAATTGTTAATTTAGTCAATGTGTTTAAGTTAGAGAAGCTTACATTTTATTACTTGGGTGGCTTTGAGCAAGTCATTTACTCTACTTGAGCCCCAGTTTTTTTTCTGTGTAATGGAGAAATTTATATGACAGACATTCCCTGCTGTCTAGTCTATTTGGACATACAGCAACCCTTTAGGACAGAGTGGAACTTTCCCTTTGGGTTTCTGAAGCTGTAAATCTTTAAGGGAGCGGAGAGGCTCCAATTTCTTTTATAGAGAAGCAGATGGATTTGAACTGCTACCTTCGGGTTAGCAGCCCAATGTGGAAAACAGTATGCTACCAGGGTCTTGTCTGTTCTTGTTTGACTTTGTTTACCATGACCTTGTCTAAAAGGACAACTCTTAGTACCCTCAAAGAATGAACTGGTATATTTTTGTAATAGAAAAAGAAATAACAAAAATTCCTCATCCCAACCTTTCCTGGCATTTTCTTCCACCCATGATATTGTCAGTTTTGTTGTTGTTTTTTTTTTACTTCTTATAATAAACCCTTGTTACTGCTCTCTGTCCTTAGAAAGAGTCGATCGGTATTCCTCCTTTGGAATCCCAAAGCCAAGCGAAACAAAACAGAAAGACAGTTGCCAATACCTTCTGAACTTATCTGCCCAGGATTTCCTAGGAAGACACTTTTGATTAGATTTTTTTTTTTTTAAGACACCTGAAGCAACCTCGATTGTATGGCAGTGAAGACTGAAGGAGAGTGACTGTTTTGTTGTTTTGTTTTTAAGTTTGGGAAGGAGACTAAGACAGGATTAATACAACGCTTTCTTCCCAGCCACCCATGATGACAGGGACAGGTTACGCATGTTTTGTTTGGAATATGCCTGTGTGTATGAACTGGAGGCATCCTGGTGAAGATGGGAGAAGGATAGGTGGTCTGCTCCCTTAAAGATGCGCATCCTCAGAAACGCTCAGATGTTTCATTCTGTTTACAAGGTCCTAGCAGTCAAATTTGCCTCCATGCAGTGAGCAGTGTGCAGCGAGTTTGCTTGTTTTTATAGTTAGATCCAAACAGGAACCCTGGAAGTGATACATATTGTTTTACTAAATCTCATGCACCTCGCTGGGTGTTTTATGAGGTAAGCCGAATTGGGAACATTCATACCAAAGTGCCTACACCAGAGTCTGGCACAGCAGTGATTTGAAAGTCAGTACTTAACATGCTAAACGAATCAATTTTTGAACTCTTAAAGAGCAGGGGGAATGCTGTTGCTTTAGCTGATGCACATAACCAGTTTTGGGCCAATAACTTAGTTTGTATAACTTACCAAGTAATTTTTCTTCATGTTGTCTTTTGACTAACACAGGAAATTATCACTAAACACTACTTTCTGCCATACAATTAGATGTTTAAAAAACATACTTTGGATCCCTTGCAAAGAATTTTAATATAGTTACATACTAATAATGCATTAAATTTTAGAGTAATGTATGTTGTTCAAAAGTCTTCTGCTAATTATTTACTAATAATCACAAGGTCTGTGAAAAGAGTAAATATAAAATATAAATTTTCCAAGGATAAAACAAATCCATTTTAATTTGACAAAATTTTTTTGTTGTGGAAAGAGAAGTGAAGTTAACATTTAGGTCTCTTTTAAATTTTGAATGAATGCCTTCAGACTGATTTGTCAGTGATCTTTGCAGTTCTCTTAACTGTCTTTCCTGGCAGTCATGATCTCATAACATCAATTCCAAGAATATATTTTAAATATTATATATGGAACTTATGTTACTTAAAAACAACTTGATCAATACGCAAATCAGCAACAAATTTGAAATATATATAAAATATTCTCCAGCACCCTGTGCACAGTTTTCTTTACACTATGAAATGTCAAGCGAGAATCAATTTCTATCATTATACTCTGTTAATAACCTAAAGGTTTAATCAATTTATTAATGTCACTCACTAATAGGAAAAGTTAAAGACTATTCAGCACATCTGCTTTTACATCTTTTTATTTGCTTCAAAAACACATTGAGGTGGCAAGCACAGTTCGGCTACCTTGTGTGGACATTGAATAAATTCTATGAAAATTCATTCACGTGCTTAAATATCTATTTTGCTTAGATGTATTGTCTAAGTGTTAAGTCAAGAAACTGATTTCAAGTACCTACCATATTACTGATTTGTTTGTATTCTATTTTAAATGTAGTATTTGATGAATTATTGTGACTATATTTATTAAGTTCTCATGTTCTAAGCCTTAGTCTCAGTTCATTATTCCCGAAACTCTTCATTCAAAAAGTTCATTTAATTCTAAAGTTCAAATTGACAGCACTTCTTATTCACTTAAAGACATTCAGCACTGAAGTGTGATTGTTCAATCAGAATGTTCTTCTTTTGATGGGGAGGCATCTAATTCTGCCAGTTAATGATAGATCCTTTTTTGCTCTGCCTTTTAAAATGGACATAGCTTCGAAGGAAGTCTCAAATTAAAGGGTTGGGAGAAGACAATAATAGAATCTATTACCGATGGCTATACAATCAAGATCCATGCAGTGTGAATGTAAAACCTGTTAATAACTGTCTTCATGGGTTAGTAAATCTGCATAGGATGACAGGTGGTGCTCTTATTTATGAAGGGGACAAACAAGGGCAAGTGGCACCAGGAATTTCCTGAGAATCTTTGGAAATATCTTCCTTGAGTTTCATTTCACCCCGAGTTCTTATCTGCATGATGGTTTGAATGAGTTCGGCCCCAAGGCAGAGACTAGAGGAACTAGCCTATTACAATTCCTTCCAGGGTTATTATTCCTTCACTCCCTCACTCTGTCTGTTTTCCATTTTTGCTTTAGATCCTTTGTTCTGTGAAATGTTTCTTTGTTCATTTAAATAAAAGCTAAATCAGAATAAAACAATTATTTGGAGATTTCCGGTTCCTTTTTTTTTTAAACCAACTTTCCTTTCTGTGAAATAATTTGGGCATTAGTTTTCTTCTAGATGTACCACTTTATGGTAATTGAAGTCGTGACCCTAATTATTTTTTAAGGGATTGAGGGAGGAGAAGTGGATTGATTTGAAGGCCACAAGTGGTTGTTTCATTAAAAGTATCTACTTTGTTGCTGATAAATTAAGAGGATTGAATTCCAATTCATTTTGTTAAAACTTATTAAAACACACAGTCTGTAAAATACTCATCTATTTATCTAGCTGCATTTTCTTAAAATTAGGTGTGACAAACTACTGTTCACCTCAACAGCATCTTTTGAAAAAGTACCCAAAATTCACAGGTGGCGGAGGCACTTTAAAATGTAGTAGAAATTTGAAGCAGGTGCCAGATGCCTGGGAGAAGTAGTGCTGAAGGGACTTAGCAGAGATCCTCACTTATCCTCAGTGACTGCCACCTGAAATATTTTACTGATTTTAGTTTGAGGGATATTCATAAATGCCACCAAAGCTTAAATAAATCATCTGTTAGTATAGAAGACACTTATATTGAATAAATATTCATTAACGTTCCTGGCTTTTCTTGTGAGTCATCTAAAATAGCTAAATGTTATAACCTAAACGTTAATATTTATTTCTACAATGTCACAAGTTCTAGAACTACTCTGCTCTCAACAGATTTTCTGTTGGTTAAACTGGGTTCATATTTTTAACCATAGTGTGATTATGCAAACCAGGAATTGAGTATTGTGTAATACCATGACTCGCTGTGCAATACCATTTATTGAACCAACAGGCCCCAGTTGCACTGACTGTGGAAACACTGCGTTACTCAGCGACACAGAAAGGCTGGCTGTTCAAACCCACCAGCTGTCACTGAGACAACGTTGTGCCAGTCTGTTCCCATAAAGAACACCAACTTGTGCATCCTAGCACTGAGCTTCTAAATATAAGGTCAGCACTTCTAATCCACCAGATGCTTTGTGGGAGACAGTTGACCCTTCTACTCAGAAAAGACGTAGAGTCTCAGAACCCTCCCGGGCAGTTCTAACTGTACTGTGGATTGCTATGAGGCAGAATTACTGGATGGCAGCAAATTTCAAGAGAGAATTAAATATTGTAAAATATTTTAAATGACCTTGCAAAAGAATAGACTGTGGTGCACATTTAATAAAATGCAGTTCTCTTACTTTCATTTACATGTGTCAAAATTGATTACACATTTTCTAGTTTCATTTATGTGTCAAAATTGATTACACATCTCCTACAGATAATTTCTAAATACAAAATGATAAAATATAGAAAATATATGTAAGATAAAACATTAAAATATGTTAAAAAAAATAACCTCTTCTTTCCCCCTCTCTCCCAATCTTCTTTAGAATTGCAGAGTAGCTCTTGTGGAAATCCAGGAGTTCCGCCTAAAGGTGTAGTATATGGCACGAGGTTTGATGTTGGAGACAAGATTCGCTACAGCTGTGTAACCGGATATATCCTGGATGGCCACCCTCAACTCACCTGCATAGCCAATTCAATTAATACAGCCTCATGGGATTTCCCTGTGCCCATCTGTAGAGGTAAAAAAAAAGAAAGAAAACTTGATTTCATGCCAAATAGATATTTGTTGGAAACATGAACATAATGTAAAGTAAGAGTTGTATTCAGCAATTATATACTTATAAACATACTCAGTACTTGCCCCTTCTATAGAATTGAAGCTTTAAAAGAAGACCCTGTAGGTGATGGTAGATAGACAGACAGCTCTGGGGACATCGGTGAAGAAGCCTATTCCACGGGAAACAGATGTCACTGTCATCTTTTTTTCTTTTCTTGATTTATTTTCCTACTAAGCAGAATATAAATGAATTATATCATATTTGGCATGTTCTTATATCATTGCTCTATGAAAGAGATATGAGAATGCCCACTGACTGGTGTAAATCACATTGTTGCTTCCTCTGAAATTGTGGCTGCAAATTCCTACATTAGTTCCTGATATCTACTCACAGACATTTCGTATTCCAGCTTAGACTCTCAGACAAATCATTCCAAATCTCTGTATCACATTTGTCTCATTGAACCCTTAAGAGAAAAAAAGCATCATCTTCCATGTTTTCTGAGGATGGAGTGAGGTCATACACGTCAGCCACGTAGTACGCTCTCTGCCATATCCGGACATTCTTTCAAGCTGTTGCTCCTACTGGTGTCTCTGCTGCTGCTTTGAGGATTCTGGCTACTCCTGCCTCTGCTACTGCTTGGGATACTTCTTTGAGCAATTACAGTGTGCTCAGTCCATATAAGGCTCTTTGTATTTAAAGTTCATCATCAAATTAGAAAACAGACCATCTTAGAGTGAAAAATATTTACCCAAAGTTACACAGCTAATTAAGGGCAGGAACTATGAAGAAGCTCACTCTTGGCTGTGCTTTTAAGTTGGCATCGTTTTGTGCCACCCTTGCTCAGGTAGTGGTAGATTATACACCCCCACTCCCTTGGTAGTTTGTTTTAGTTTGGTGATTTGTGTGTTGCTGTTATGGTGGAAACGATGCCACTGGTATTTCAAATGCCAGCAGGGTCACCCAGGATTGACATGTTTCAGAAGGGCTTGGAGACTGAGACCATGTGAGAAGATAGGGCACTCTACTACTCTACTGCTCTACTCCTGAGCAAACTGGCCGGGGAAAAGCTTATGAATGGCAGCAAAACCTGGTCAGACACACGGCTGGAAGTGAGTCCTCTGGTTTCAAGGGAGAGAGATGACTCCCATTGGTCAGTGAAATTTAATGACTTGCTTGGAGTAAAGCTTCTGGAAGCTTCATTTGTTGACAAAGGACATCTTAACCTGAGAGGAGCACTGTCTATCCAAGAATCACTGCTCTCTGGAAGGTAAAAGCATGAATTTAGCACAAATTCAGCCATGAGACAGAATGCAGGATGAATATCCTAGGCCTTAGTGAGCTAAAATGTTCTGAAGTTGGTCATTTTTAATGGACAGACATGTGCTTCAATATGCCAGAAATGAGAAATTAAAGAAGGATGTCAAGAAGAGCATTCTGAAATCTATCCTGAAATGCAGTGTTGTCAATGAAAAACTCATCTGTATAGACGTACAAGGACACTCCACTCATACAACCATTATTCAAATTTTGCACCAACCCCTAATGCCAGATGAAGAAATTGAAGGTTGTTACCAATTGCAGTCTGAAATTGGTCACATGTGCAGTTAAGATACACTGATCATTACTGGTGATCAGAATGGGAAAACAGGAAACAAAGAAGCATTGGAAAACATTATTTTTGTTATAGAAATGACTCTGAAGATCAATATTGCATGATACAATTATGCAAGACTAGTGACTTATTCATTGTAGACCTCTTTTTCCCAACAACATAAATGATGGCTTTACATACAGACCTCACCAGATGGAATATACAAGGATAAAATCCACTATATGTGGAAAGAGACAATGGAGAAACTGTATCATCAGCCAGAACAAGGCTAGAACAGGCCATCCATTGTTTATATAGAAGTTCTATTGAGGCTGAAACAAATGAAAACTACCATAGTTGATTAGAGCCAAAGTATATCTTAGCAGAATTTCATCACTATCACAAATCTAGCTGGGGCACCCTGCACATTAACAACTGAAGAACAAACTAGTTGTGGATTATGTAAAGGGAAACACAGATGAAGAATGTAAAAGGTCACTTGAAAGACATGAACCAAAGTCATGATCAAAATGATTGTCAGAAGAGACTGAAACTTGATCTTGAATAAAGAGTAGCTAAAGCAAATGGAAGAAATAATGGCAGAACAGGTGATTTTAAAGGGTTGTCTCTGCAAGATTGTCACACTAAAGTATCATAATAAAATGTACGAAGACATGGAGTTGTAAGACCAAAAGTGAAGGACACCTTAGTATCTCTCATTCTGAAAGAAATGAAGACAAATTCAAGGCACACATCGCAATAATAATGGATACTTAAGCTAAGCCCTACTGGTATAATGGTATATGCATGGTATGGGGGCTGCTAACGACAGTCAGTAGTTCAAATCCGCCAGTAACTATGAGGGAGGAAGATGAGGCTCTTGATTCCTATGAAGAGTTACAGTGCTAACAATCCACAGGTAAATTTTACTTGGCCCCTATGCGGTCATTATGAGTCTGAGTCAACCAGGTGGCAGTGAGAGAAAGTGAACCCTAATTGCATGGGCTACTAAACAAAGGGTCAGCCATATGATGTGGCTTTCTGCTTCTGTAAAGATTTACAGTCTTAGAAACCCCAGCATGGAGTTTACTCTGCCCTATAGTATTGGTATTAGTTGAAAGCAATGGCAATGGTTTGATAGGGGAAAAAAAATGAAGGACAGGAAGCATCAAAAGAAGATGTGAAGAATGCACAGAGTCATTGTAAGGAAAATAATTGGTCAATATTAAACCATTTCAGTGGGGAACATAAAATGAAGAAATGATGGTATTGAAGGCAGATGTCCAAGTTTCACTGTAGACATTATTGAACAAACAAGCCTCCATGAGTCGATGAAATATGAACTGAAACATTTCCATAAGCAGATGCAACACTGGAAGGAATCATTCAGATTTGTGAATAAATTGTGATGACTGCTATACAGCCAACCAACTAGAAGAGATTCATATTTGAGTCAATTCCAAAGAAAGATGATTCAAAATAATTTGTAAATTATTGATTAATATTATTAATTTCACTTGCAAGTACATTTTTGCTGACAATCATTTAAAAATTGATGTAGAAGTGGATGTAGATCCACATTCATCCACATTCAAAAGTGGATATAGATTGACAAGGAGCTGTCATTAATGCCAACATTATTCAGAAAAGGACTTGGAATGATGGATAGTATTGTGTATCTTGTATGGATCGAAGCTGAAAGCAGAGAATACAAAAAAGATGTTCAACTATGTTTATTGACTCTGTGGATCATATCAACCGAAAACCAATTAAGCTCTCTGCTACTGAGTTGATTCTGACTCATGGAAAACCCTTGGACAGAGTATAGCTGGCCCTGTTGGTTTCTGAGGCTGTAGATGTTTATGGGATAAGAAAACTTGTTCTTTCTCCTGTGGAGCAGCTGGTGAATTTGAACTGCTAGCTTATGGTTAACAGCCCAATATGTAACCTGTTACACCATCAGGGGCCCTTGGATCATAACAAAGTATGCATAAAGATAAGAAGAATAACAATTCTAGAATGTATCGTTGTGCTCATGTACAATGTGTGCATACCCTGAGCGGCAGTCCTGTGAATGGAACAAGGACATCCTGTGTGGTGTGGGATCACAGAAGACGTGTGTCAGAGATGGAGACTCTTACTATACTTCTTAACTTGTGAACTGTGAAAAAACTATGAAAAATGGACTACAGGAAGAAATCCATGGCACAATGATTGGAGGATGACTCATTAACTTGTGATATGTAGGCAATACAACTTTGCTTTATGGAAGTGAAGTATATTTAAAGCATTGAATAATACATATCAAAGATGGTGATATAAATTATACCACAATAATAATTTTTAAAAACCCTTAGAACTGTACCAGCTAGCAATAGCATTATAATTGGAGGAAAATAATGAATGTTCAAGGATTTTATTTTACTAGGATACAAAATCTCACTCCTCAGAAACAGCAAGCAAGAAGTGATGAAGATAATGCATTGGATATAGCTTGTGCAAACAAACCCTTTAAAGTGTCAAAAAGCAAAGGGTTAGCTTTGCAGACTGACACGCACCTGGCTCAAGCCACAGAATTTTCAAAAGACACTTATAAATGACAGAGCTGGTCAATGAATAAGGAATATCAAAGAAGAATTGATGCATTTGAATGATGATGTTGGTGAAGAGTACTGGGCATATCATGCACTGCTAGAATGGTGAAATTTTTGTCTTTGAAAACATACAGCAAAAATTTACCTGAGGCTCTGTACCACCTATATTAGATATGCTGTTAGGAGAGACCAGTCTGAGACCAGAGAATGCCATTGGTTGGTAAAGGGGAGGAACACTTAAACAGAGAGACTCCCAATAAGACCCATTGACACAGTGATTTCAACAATGGACTCAAACAGTGGAAATATGCTGAGGGCAGCACAGTTCTAGGCAATCCATCCATAGAGTTACTATGAGTCAAACCAACTCACCAGCTTCCATGAACAAAATACACAGAAGATACCTTAGGCGTTGATCACAGAGGACAAATAGTTTGTTGCTCCCGTCAGGAACTTCAGGAGCAGAGAACCAGAAGTTGTACTGGTTTTCCAGTATTTCATTCTTATGATATGACCTGAATACTGTAAAATTATATCTGTGCATGTTTTGGGTTATGTTATATGGGAAGATTGAGTTCAGGCAACTTGAGTCTTCTATGACATGTAGAAATAATGGCTTCTGCGATGCAGAGAGATATTGTCCCCATCACCAGACTTGTTAGTGAGCTTTCCTTTTGTTCTGGTGGGAACCACTTTTGCTGTCCTACCAGGCTACTTGCTAACAAATAGTCTTTAAAAAGGTTGTTCAGAACACAAGGCATTCAGGAACTGTC